TCAGGTCAGTGAAGTTGGTAAACATACATACAAACACACATAGTATCAGGTCAGTGAAGTTGGTAAACATCACATACAAACACACATAGTATCAGATCAGTGAAGTTGGTAAACATCACATACAAACACACATAATACGCATAGTATCAGTGAAGTTGGTAAACATACATACAAACACACATAGTATCAGGTCAGTGAAGTTGGTAAACATCACATACAAACACACATAGTATCAGATCAGTGAAGTTGGTAAACATCACATACAAACACACATAGTATCAGGTCAGTGAAGTTGGTAAACATACATACAAACACACATAGTATCAGATCAGTGAAGTTGGTAAACATACATACAAACACACATAGTATCAGGTCAGTGAAGTTGGTAAACATCACATACAAACACACATAGTATCAGGATCAGTGAAGTTGGTAAACATACATACAAACACACATAGTATCAGGTCAGTGAAGTTGGTAAACATACATACAAACACGCATAGTATCAGGTCAGTGAAGTTGGTAAACATCACATACAAACACACATAGTATCAGGTCAGTGAAGTTGGTAAACATACATACAAACACACATAGTATCAGGTCAGTGAAGTTGGTAAACATCACATACAAACACACATAGTATCAGGTCAGTGAAGTTGGTAAACATACATACAAACACACATAGTATCAGGTCAGTGAAGTTGGTAAACATACATACAACACACACGCATAGTAAACATCACATATCAGGTCAGTGAAGTTGGTAAACATCACATACAAACACACATAGTATCAGGTCAGTGAAGTTGGTAAACATCACATACAAACACGCATAGTATCAGGTCAGTGAAGTTGGTAAACATCACATACAAACACACATAGTATCAGATCAGTGAAGTTGGTAAACATCACATACAAACACACATAGTATCAGGTCAGTGAAGTTGTAAAAACATCACATACAAACACACGCATAGTATCAGGTCAGTGAAGTTGGTAAACATATACAAACACACATAGTATCAGGTCAGTGAAGTTGGTAAACATCACATACAAACACGCATAGTATCAGATCAGTGAAGTTGGTAAACATACATACAAACACACATAGTATCAGGTCAGTGAAGTTGGTAAACATCACATACAAACACACATAGTATCAGGTCAGTGAAGTTGGTAAACATACATACAAACACGCATAGTATCAGGTCAGTGAAGTTGGTAAACATCACATACAAACACACATAGTATCAGGTCAGTGAAGTTGGTAAACATACATACAAACACACATAGTATCAGGTCAGTGAAGTTGGTAAACATCACATACAAACACACATAGTATCAGGTCAGTGAAGTTGGTAAACATCACATACAAACACACATAGTATCAGGTCAGTGAAGTTGGTAAACATCACATACAAACACACATAGTATCAGGTCAGTGAAGTTGGTAAACATCACATACAAACACGCATAGTATCAGGTCAGTGAAGTTGGTAAACATACATACAAACACACATAATATCAGGTCAGTGAAGTTGGTAAACATCACATACAAACACACATAGTATCAGGTCAGTGAAGTTGGTAAACATCACATACAAACACGCATAGTATCAGGTCAGTGAAGTTGGTAAACATCACATACAAACACGCATGAATATCAGTATCAGGTCAGTGAAGTTGGTAAACATACATACAAACACACATAGTATCAGGTCAGTGAAGTTGGTAAACATCACATACAAACACACATAGTATCAGGTCAGTGAAGTTGGTAAACATACATACAAACACACATAGTATCAGGTCAGTGAAGTTGGTAAACATACATACAAACACACATAGTATCAGGTCAGTGAAGTTGGTAAACATCACATACAAACACGCATAGTATCAGGTCAGTGAAGTTGGTAAACATCACATACAAACACACATAGTATCAGGTCAGTGAAGTTGGTAAACATCACATACAAACACACATAGTATCAGGTCAGTGAAGTTGGTAAACATACATACAAACACACATAGTATCAGGTCAGTGAAGTTGGTAAACATCACATACAAACACGCATAGTATCAGGTCAGTGAAGTTGGTAAACATCACATACAAACACACATAGTATCAGGTCAGTGAAGTTGGTAAACATCACATACAAACACACATAGTATCAGGTCAGTGAAGTTGGTAAAACATCACATACAAAGTATCACATAGTTGGTAAACATCACATACAAACACGCATCATCAGTGTGAAGTTGGTAAACATCACATACAAACACGCATAGTATCAGGTCAGTGAAGTTGGTAAACATCACATACAAACACACATAGTATCAGGTCAGTGAAGTTGGTAAACATCACATACAAACACGCATAGTATCAGGTCAGTGAAGTTGGTAAACATCACATACAAACACGCATAGTATCAGGTCAGTGAAGTTGGTAAACATCACATACACAAACACACATAGTATCAGGTCAGTGAAGTTGGTAAACATCACATACAAACACACATAGTATCAGGTCAGTGAAGTTGGTAAACATACAAACGTACACACCTCGCTGTAATGATGAAGAAACAGTGACATTTCCTGGACATATGGGCGTGATAACCCACACAGCAAGGAGCATCTTTGACTCCGGCTATAAATGTCATAGTATTTATAACATTAATAAAGTGTAGTGAGTGAGTTTAGTTTTACGCCGCTTTTTGCAATATTCCAGCAATATCACGGCGGGGGACACCAGAAATGGGCTTCACACAAGGGGAAATCGAACTTTGGTCTTCGACGAGGCTACCCCACCGCCCTCTAATAACATGATGGTGACATGTACTGGTGTTGATAAGGGTAAACAATGGAGACAAGCAACATATAGAAGAAGAAATTAGTGTGTTATATAAATAATGGTAATTAAGTGATGGAGATACAAAACGTGTATTGGCTGCATAGTAATTAGCATGTGAGATTACAAGTATAATCGGACAATGGCAGCCCCGAATCACTTACTGTGACAACTGTAAACCTAGCAACATTTGCAAAGAGATCCACAGTCAGAAATGTGAACCTTTGATATCAACGCTGTATCATTAGATACTTCAAACCGATCAGATGTATCGAACTTTCATAGGCGTAGGAACAGTTTAAAAGTTGGGGGCAAGATTTCGAAATTGATAACGGGGGTGGGGGTGGGGTGGAGAGAGGAGATATATGAAAAGGACAGACGAGTTCACTTGCTTTGCAATTTCTCCGCAAAGAGTGTCCCAGCCCTTGTCTGCAGCTTTAGAATACTTCACAAGAAGGTCTTTATAATAACTTATTCTCTTTATATTTGGTCTTAAATATCTGAAAAATAAGAAATTGAGTCACTGTCATTTTTCTTTATGATAATCATATTTTGGGTGCTGACAAATAGAACAATAGGGTACTGAAAAACAATAGTTTTATACTATAAATATATTATAATTACATTCAATAACAAGGCAGAAGTGAGCACAGCTCACATACCCCCGCTTATAGTCTGATCACCTTCAATACCATTATTGAATACCAAAATAATATTTTAGGAAAACTTTCAATTTTGGCATCATGCAATTGAAAGCCAAAACCCACAATGGCACCATAAGGGTAAGTTCCATGCCAAATTTGAAGTTTGTAAGTGGTATAGTTTTTGAGTTATGCTCAGAGAAACCATTCCGGACGCACGGACACACGGGCGGACGGGCTGAGCGCTATATACCAGCGACTACGTCGTAGCTGGGGTATAATAATGCAGCCATTCTTATTTCATACATGAATTCGGCTTTCAGATAAAACCAGCTCTCTCACTGCCAATATATGAGTTTGAAATCGTGTCTTATTGTTATTGTTTAGATTTTCAATAAATAAATCAAACAGCACCTATTATACTTAAACTATGGCTATTACTGTAAACTAAATGTTACTGTATAGACTACACTGTAATGTCAATGTATGTTGTCAACTTACCGCTGATTCGAATCCATGTTGGCTGTTAATAACAGCCTGACTGCCTCTACTTTCACTTTTGAGTGACATGAATTAAAAAATTTGGATTCTATCATTAGCGGAATTTTTTTTTGTGATCATGTTATTTTTTCAACGTTACCAGAGGTTTGAATTTGTGTTTAATTCTCTATTATGGTCCCTAAAAACATTTCCAGCTTGTAAAAATATGGGGGGGCATATGTTTTTTTAGGGGGCGCAGCTGACCCCCTGCCCCCCCAGTTCCTACGCCTATGACTTTAGAATAACTAAACCTCTTCATGATTATTTCCCTTTAAAAAGCGTGGTAGTTAGCCTCAGAATATGTATACAACAAGTCTATGCATATTCATAAACTTACTTTGCAATTTGCATACATTTGATCTTACAGTGTATCGTATGTATTATTAATTATAACTATTAGAAACATAAATGGTAAATTATGGATGTCAACCCGTGTGAAATGAAAACACGATGTGGAATGATGAAGGAATTACGGTGCAGGAGATGAAGAGCGTACCCTGACACGTCTTGTTCCTTACTGTACAGAAGTTGACATCAATAAATGTCCACCTAATGTGTATCACTACTGAATGCCATTCAAAGACTTGAATCGAAATATGTTTGTGTTGGAGGGGTCTAAACATATGCATGTTACCTGTGTACCAAGCCTGGGCCCTCTTCCCCAAAGCGATCGTAGAGCTAAGGTGATCGTATCTCCCATTCTTTCATGTAGACTTACGACAGTCGTAGCGCTACGATCGCTTTGAGGAACAGGGCTCAGTTTTTTAAAATGTTTTGTTTCCTGTGCCCCTGGGTCGTCCTCTAGGTGACTATGAAGTGTCCCAGTGATCGGGCATCTGCCTTCTAATGACGCTGTTTCAAAGTAACTTTGAAGATAAGAAAGAATTGTGATTAACATTTTATAGAGCGGATTCACTTGAGATGTCAGCTGCGACACGAACCGTGCAATGTCGGGGGTGCTGTTAAACGAATCGACATCGCACTCCCGTCGTGTAGTAAGTTGAATCTGGCCCAAACTGTTGACGTATATATGTTAATGACAGGGGAAAATAACAGTTGGATCCCAATAGCAGCTATTAATCAACACCCCTGTAACAGTAAGTATTGAACCTTATTTTATGCATGTCCGTGGATGGGAAAATAGTCATTTCTAACCATGTAAGCTTCACAGTCTCCTCATGCTCTGTATCACAACCTATCCCAAAGTATCATTTGTATACACTTTATGTAGCAACGTGCTCTATATCACAACCTATCCCAATGTATCATTTGTATACACTTTATGTAGCAACGTGCGCTATATCACAACCTATCCCAAAGTATCATTTGTATACACTTTATGTAGCAACGTGCTCTATATCACAACCTATCCCAATGTATCATTTGTATACACTTTATGTAGCAACGTGCTCTATATCACAACCTATCCCAATGTATCATGTGTATACACTTTATGTAGCAACGTGCTCTATATCACAACCTATCCCAATGTATCATTTGTATACACTTTATGTAGCAACGTGCTCTATATCACAACCTATCCCAATGTATCATTTGTATACACTTTATGTACCAACATGCTCTATATCACAACCTATCCCAATGTATCATGTGTATACACTTGATGTAGCAACGTGCTCCGTATAACAACCTATCCCAATGTATCATGTGTATACACTTTATGTAGCAACGTGCTCTGTATCACAACCTATCCCAATGTATCATGTGTATACACTTTATGTACAAACGTGCTCTATATCACAACCTATCCCAATGTATCATGTGTATACACTTTATGTAGCAACGTGCTCTATATCACAACCTATCCCAATGTATCATTTGTATACACTTTATGTACCAACGTGCTCTGTATCACAACCCATCCCAATGTATCATTTCTATACACTTTATGTAGCAACGTGCTCTGTATCACAACCTATCCCAATGTATCATGTGTATACACTTTATGTACCAACGTGATCTATATCACAACCTATCCCAATGTATCATGTGTATACACTTTATGTAGCAACGTGCTCTGTATCACAACCCATCCCAATGTATCATTTGTATACACTTTATGTAGCAACGTGCTCTGTATCACAACCTATCCCAATGTATCATGTGTATACACTTTATGTACCAACGTGCTCTGTATCACAACCTATCCCAATGTATCATTTGTATACACTTTATGTAGCAACGTGCTCTAAATCACAACCTATCCCAATGTATCATGTGTATACACTTTATGTAGCAACGTGCTCTGTATCACAACCTATGCAAATGTATTATGTGTATACACTTTATGTAGCAACGTGCTCTGTATCACAACCTATCCCAATGTATTATGTGTATACACTTTATGTACCAACGTGCTCTGTATCACAACCTATCCCAATGTATCATTTGTATACACTTTATGTAGCAACGTGCTCTGTATCACAACCTATCCCAATGTATCATTGTGTATACACTTTATGTAGCAACGTGCTCTGTATCACAACCTATCCCAATGTATCATGTGTATACACTTTATGTAGCAACGTGCTAGTATCACAACAACGTGCTCTGTATCACAACCTATCCCAATGTATCATGTGTATACACTTTATGTAGCAACGTGCTCTGTATCACAACCTATCCCAATGTATCATGTGTATACACTTTATGTAGCAACGTGCTCTGTATCACAACCTATCCCAATGTATCATGTGTATACACTTTATGTACCAACGTGCTCTGTATCACAACCTATCCCAATGTATCATGTGTATACACTTTATGTAGCAACGTGCTCTGTATCACAACCTATCCCAATGTATCATGTGTATACACTTTATGTACCAACGTGCTCTGTATCACAACCTATCCCAATGTATCATGTGTATACACTTTATGTAGCAACGTGCTCTGTATCACAACCTATCCCAATGTATCATGTGTATACACTTTATGTAGCAACGTGCTCTGTATCACAACCTATCCCAATGTATCATGTGTATACACTTTATGTAGCAACGTGCTCTGTATCACAACCTATCCCAATGTATCATGTGTATACACTTTATGTAGCAACGTGCTCTGTATCACAACCTATCCCAATGTATCATGTGTATACACTTTATGTAGCAACGTGCTCTTTATCACAACCTATCCCAATGTATCATGTGTATACACTTTATGTACCAACGTGCTCTATATCACAACCTATCCCAATGTATCATGTGTATACACTTTATGTAGCAACGTGCTCTGTATCACAACCTATCCCAATGTATCATGTGTATACACTTTATGTAGCAACGTGCTCTGTATCACAACCTATCCCAATGTATCATGTGTATACACTTTATGTACCAACGTGCTCTGTATCACAACCTATCCCAATGTATCATGTGTATACACTTTATGTAGCAACGTGCTCTATATCACAACCTATCCCAATGTATCATGTGTATACACTTTATGTAGCAACGTGCTCTGTATCACAACCTATCCCAATGTATCATGTGTATACACTTTATGTACCAACGTGCTCTGTATCACAACCTATCCCAATGTATCATGTGTATACACTTTATGTAGCAACGTGCTCTGTATCACAACCTATCCCAATGTATCATGTATACACTTTATGTAGCAACGTGCTCTGTATCACAACCTATCCCAATGTATCATGTGTATACACTTTATGTAGCAACGTGCTCTGTATCACAACCTATCCCAATGTATCATGTGTATACACTTTATGTAGCAACGTGCTCTGTATCACAACCTATCCCAATGTATCATGTGTATACACTTTATGTACCAACGTGCTCTGTATCACAACCTATCCCAATGTATCATGTGTACACTTTTTATGTAGCAACGTGCTCTGTATCACAACCTATCCCAATGTATCATGTGTATACACTTTATGTACCAACGTGCTCTGTATCACAACCTATCCCAATGTATCATGTGTATACACTTTATGTACCAACGTGCTCTGTATCACAACCTATCCCAATGTATCATGTGTATACACTTTATGTAGCAACGTGCTCTGTATCACAACCTATCCCAATGTATCATGTGTATACACTTTATGTACCAACGTGCTCTGTATCACAACCTATCCCAATGTATCATGTGTATACACTTTATGTAGCAACGTGCTCTGTATCACAACCTATCCCAATGTATCATGTGTATACACTTTATGTAGCAACGTGCTCTGTATCACAACCTATCCCAATGTATCATGTGTATACACTTTATGTACCAACGTGCTCTGTATCACAACCTATCCCAATGTATCATGTGTATACACTTTATGTAGCAACGTGCTCTGTATCACAACCTATCCCAATGTATCATGTATACACTTTTATGTAGCAACGTGCTCTGTATCACAACCTATCCCAATGTATCATGTGTATACACTTTATGTAGCAACGTGCTCTGTATCACAACCTATCCCAATGTATCATGTGTATACACTTTATGTAGCAACGTGCTCTGTATCACAACCTATCCCAATGTATCATGTGTATACACTTTATGTACCAACGTGCTCTGTATCACAACCTATCCCAATGTATCATGTGTATACACTTTATGTAGCAACGTGCTCTGTATCACAACCTATCCCAATGTATCATGTGTATACACTTTATGTAGCAACGTGCTCTGTATCACAACCTATCCCAATGTATCATGTGTATACACTTTATGTAGCAACGTGCTCTGTATCACAACCTATCCCAATGTATCATGTGTATACACTTTATGTAGCAACGTGCTCTGTATCACAACCTATCCCAATGTATCATGTGTATACACTTTATGTACCAACGTGCTCTGTATCACAACCTATCCCAATGTATCATGTGTATACACTTTATGTACCAACGTGCTCTGTATCACAACCTATCCCAATGTATCATGTGTATACACTTTATGTAACGCAACGTGCTCTGTATATCACAACCTATCCCAATGTATCATGTGTATACACTTTATGTAGCAACGTGCTCTGTATCACAACCTATCCCAATGTATCATGTGTATACACTTTATGTAGCAACGTGCTCTGTATCACAACCTATCCCAATGTATCATGTGTATACACTTTATGTAGCAACGTGCTCTGTATCACAACCTATCCCAATGTATCATGTGTATACACTTTATGTAGCAACGTGCTCTGTATCACAACCTATCCCAATGTATCATGTGTATACACTTTATGTAGCAACGTGCTCTGTATCACAACCTATCCCAATGTATCATGTGTATACACTTTATGTACCAACGTGCTCTGTATCACAACCTATCCCAATGTATCATGTGTATACACTTTATGTAGCAACGTGCTCTGTATCACAACCTATCCCAATGTATCATGTGTATACACTTTATGTATGCAACAACGTGCTCTGTATCACAACCTATCCCAATGTATCATGTGTATACACTTTATGTAGCAACGTGCTCTGTATCACAACCTATCCCAATGTATCATGTGTATACACTTTATGTAGCAACGTGCTCTGTATCACAACCTATCCCAATGTATCATGTATACACTTTATGTAGCAACGTGCTCTGTATCACAACCTATCCCAATGTATCATGTGTATACACTTTATATACACTTCTGTATATGTATCATAACGTGCTCTGTATCACAACCTATCCCAATGTATCATCATGTGTATACACTTTATGTACCAACGTGCTCTGTATCACAACCTATCCCAATGTATCATGTGTATACACTTTATGTAGCAACGTGCTCTGTATCACAACCTATCCCAATGTATCATGTGTATACACTTTATGTAGCAACGTGCTCTGTATCACAACCTATCCCAATGTATCATGTGTATACACTTTATGTACCAACGTGCTCTGTATCACAACCTATCCCAATGTATCATGTGTATACACTTTATGTAGCAACGTGCTCTGTATCACAACCTATCCCAATGTATCATGTGTATACACTTTATGTAGCAACGTGCTCTGTATCACAACCTATCCCAATGTATCATGTGTATACACTTTATGTAGCAACGTGCTCTGTATCACAACCTATCCCAATGTA